TAAATAAAAACAGCTACATCAAAGTGATTAAAGAATTAGACAGTATTATTTTAAAGATTTAATAAAATGTCTTTCTCCATCATTTATCAACATAAGATAACCTTGGTTTAAAACTTGTTATGCGTTCCTTCAAGGATTTTTAGGCCTTTAATTTGTTCTTTATTTTTGGTTTTTACATGTTGTAAATAAAAACAGCTACATCAAAGTGATTAAAGAAATAAACTAAACAGATTTGTTCCTGAAGAAAGACTGAGAATTTACGCATGTGTCCCATCTGGAAATAAATACATGAACCATATAAGGGTCATATTTTGGTAATACCACATTCACTGACAGATGAACAGAGCCCAAGGGCATTGAAGAGGATGGGGGTTGCGGGGAACATGCATGATGGAACAGGAGGAGCAGTTTTGGCTAACCTCATCCGTGGAGAGAGTGGCAGCRTTAATCTCCAAATGAAAGTAAATGAGAGCTCTGTCAGGTCATTTTCTAAGGAAGTGCATTCAGCTGCTTTGGATTTGTTAGATTTGTGCCATTTGTGTTGACATCCAGTGAGTGACTCCACTCCCTGAGAATGTTAAATGCAGCCGATTGTGATGGAACACACCAACATGCACAAAACAGCTTCACAAAATCAGAAGTGAAAGAGTCTAAAAGCAACATTAAATGTTTATTTGTGGTGTTGATTTGTATTCCTTTAGTGGTTTCCAGAAATGTACGTCTAATTGTTTCCAAATGAAACATCAAAGGTTACAAACACAGTGGCACCAAAACTGGGTCTTGATATTYGCACAAATATGCTGTTCAACATTCATTTTGATGTTTAATTGATTTTGAACAATCAAAGGCATAAAAAGTGATTGACRTACACCTGCAGCTGCTTGACTTCTGACATGAACCTGATCCAAGATGGCGGCCACATAATCCACATCACTGAACACAGACATGACTRTAACTATATCAATTTCACAGACATTGTGCTAAAATGTGGTGTGGTAGTAGCTGAGAATCATTYCCAGCACACATTGTCAACACGTTCTGCTAAAKCTTTGTTTAAAACTTTGGCGTGCAAGTTGTGGGTGATATGCACTTTTTCAAGAAATATATTATTTAATTACTATTATTCCAATCAAGATTTAAGTTACACAATAGCAGGATTCACCAGAACAGATTTAACTCTATCTATATGTGTGTGTGTGTTTGTGCATCTGTGTRTGTGTGTGTGKGTRTKTGTGAATTGCAGCRTGCGGAGAAACCCTCCAAGAGTCAACTGGCAACTTCTCATCTCCTGGTTACCCAAATGGATACCCTTCATACACACACTGTGTCTGGAGAATATCTGTTACACCTGGAGAGAAGGTATACACACACACACACACACACACACACACAC